TAAATTGTTAACCAGAATATGTTAGAATAGTTCATTCATAAGCAATGATTTCAAGAAAAAGGAAGAAACTTTATGAAATCTGATTTTCTATAATCATAGAATCACAGAATGTCCCAAGTTGGAAGGGACCCATACGGATCATCAAGTCCAACTCCTGGCACCGCACAGGTCTACCCAAAAGTTTAGACCATGTGACTCAGGGCACAGTCCAGTCACTTCTTAAATTCAGACAGGCTCGGTGCTGTGACTACGTCCCTGGGGAGCCTGTTCCAGTGTGCAACCACCCTCTCGGTGAAGAACCTCTTCCTGATGTCCAGCCTAAACTTCCCCTACCTCAGCTTAACACCATTCCCGCGGGTCCCATCACTGGTGTTAATGGAGAATAGGTCACCTGCCTCTCCACTCCCCCTCGCGAGGAAGTTGTAGACCGCGATGAGATCCCCCTCAGCCTCCCCTTCTCCAGGCTGAACAGGCCCAGTGCCCTCAGCTGCTCCTTATACGTCTTCCGCTCTAGGCCCTTCATCATCTGCATCACCCTCCTCTGGATACTCTCCAACAGTTTCATGTCCTTTTTATACTGTGGTGCCCAGAACTGCACACAGTACTCGAGGTGAGGCCGCACCAGCGCAGAGTAGAGCGGGACAATCACCTCCCTCGACCGACTGGCGATGCTGTGCTTGATGCACCCCAGGATACAGCTGGCCCTCCTGGCTGCCAGGGCACACTGCTGGCTCATATTCAACTTGCTGTCAGCCACAACCCCCAGATCCCTCTCTGTGGGGCTGCTCTCCAGCGTCTCGTCGCCCAGTCTGTACGTACAGCCAGGGTTGCCCTGTCTCAGGTGCAGGACCTGGCACTTGATTTTGTTAAACTTCATATCTTATATAAATATTTTATATATATATATATATATATATGTATATATATATATATATATATATACACACATGTGTATGTGAAGATATTAAATATCTTCAAGAGGTGCTTGATAATGCAGAGGGGCTCAAAGCCTGCAAGACTCAAAAGCCAAGCCAGGACTCCACTGACACAGAAGGTCATCACTCTGTCCCGAAAGTACAGGATACAGTGAATAAAGTGCTATTCTAGTAGTCTGCAGCTCAAGCAATGCTTTTTCTAAGTACATTTCTGACATCTAATTAACTGTCAGCAGTCTGGGGCAGGGGCACTTAAAGGTGTTTTAAAGCTGTTTCTTTGCAAATCCCTTTCCTCAATTGCATGGAGCCAGCTGGAAGTCTCTGGTTCTTCTGAAGGCTAAAATGAACAAATGATTTTATTGTGAAGTTATAAACTAATGAGCACATTATCTCTGAAAGGCAAACAACATTCCTGAGGAGAATGGGAAAGATTCTGATCTGACATAGAGCAACTAAACTACAGTAAAACAGTTGAAATCAGTGCACTTAATCAATTTCACACCAATGTGACTGAGATCTGAACAAGATCCAGATTTGTTTTAATAAATCTTTTGTTGTCATTATACAAGCAATCACTGAAATGCATTTTTAAACCTTCTATCAACTTACTTGGCAGCATATATGAACCATTTCAATGCTATGCTTATCACATTCTCACCAGAAAAAATATGGCAAAATACATGCACTAAGCCATGCAAACTGCTTTATTAAAATAAAGGATCAAAAATTTTAGACCTACTCAATCTATTTTTTACTTTTAAATGGCACACACTGGCATTTTCACAGTTAGCTAACTTGAAACATTTATGTTAAAAAAAATAAAATAAAAATAAAGAGGAAGCTTTACAAAGATTAATTGAGGTCTCCTGAAACATAATTGAGAACTTGAAAAACTACACCAAGGCTTAGAAAAAGTCATAGATAATTTGCTTGACATACCCTAAAGTGCATGAAATAAAATACTATTGCTCAAGACAAATGTACAGACTTTGGCCATACTCTTGAATATATGGTTTCTGAAATCAGCCTTCCAGAATTTTAAAAAGCAAGCAATCCACTGCTCATTTCTGAAACTCGTCGATTTACTGAAATTAAGCAATAATTCAGGTTCTCATTACTAGATTCAGAATTTGGCCTGGAACAAGAATTTAGACCACTTAACCAGTAGACCACTTCCCCTCAAGAAGCAGGGAAATTCTGGTGCCCTCTTCTAGCGCAAACTGCTTTTGTATCTACTTTTGTTTTAAACCATTGCTCTATGTGAATCCAACCAAATAGTGCAAGAGACTCAAAATAAAAAAGCATGCTCATGTGTTCTAGCTGTTCTAGTCACTTCCCATACTGTGATGCTTCTTGACTGTGCAGTCCATGGCTGTGGCATCACTGAAAAAATATCACAACAAATTACTAAAGTGAGATCCTTGGTGAAAACCTCAGAGCAAACACACTGCTTATAATGAGGCTTCAGACATGTGAGTAACCTGGAACCAGATGTAAGCACAAACCCAGCTTTTGCTTGCTAAGGTTCCATTACAGGGAAACCGAGTAACGCACTGATCTTACAAGCAGCAGTATTCACGAGCTGTAGAGCACTAACAAAAACTCAGAATGACACTAAATATAAAGGATTAGTTTCAATGATGCCAGAAGGGAGAAAAAATAGAATATTGTAAAAGCAAAAGTAAATTGTAAAATAAATATTTCAGGATTCAAACTAGTAATAGAAAAGCCCATAAATCATATTTACAATTGCTCCCTTTCCTACCAAATATCCATCTTCTCCAAATGGATGCCTATTACCAGGTCTTCAGCATATACTATGGGATAAAGAGAATTGTAGGAATCTAGTTTACTACCACAGGGAAGAGACACCAGAGAAAGGTTTAAAGGAGCAGCAGAAAATCCTGAAGAATTTTTCCAGGGGACTACATGTATGTACCTGCACAGTGTGATTCTGTACAGAATGACAAACCAAATCAAGCCAAGGCAGCCAAACCAACGGTTACCTTCCTCTCAGTTACTGTCTTGCTGTTTGGGGTCAGGATTTGAGGCACTGGAGTGTGGGAAAGGTAAGCCTGAATAAAGGGCACAACCAACCATAAAAATAACATACTGTACAGTACCTATACTAGTATTAACACAAGACGTGGCTGAACAGGTCTTCCTGAGAGATTAAGTGGTTCCTGTGGTTTCTTATCTGTTTCAGGTAAGAAATAACATATACGATAATTTTGACAAGCCCACAGAGCAGAGAGTGCAAGAAGTACATTTGTTAGGCCACTATAATGACAGGCCCTCAGAAACACTGATGTTTCTCACATTTCTCTGCAACGTGCCCACTGGAATAAATACCTGTCAATTCTAGAAAATGAGACTCAAACTCTAGAAACCTCATTTTTTCAGACAAATTATTTTTCTTCTTCTGTGACCATCTTGTGGCCAGTCCCTCTGTGCAAGAGGCCTCAGACACTGCAGCACAAATAGCCAATCAAAATCATTGAGCTCCTGGTATCGCATTAGCTGGAGCTGTTTGAAAAATTGCAGGAATTAATTTTTACAAACACATTCCAGAATCCGAGTCCACATATTAATGTTGTATTTCAAACCTTTTTTCATATCAAACTCATGAGGGAGAAGGGGGAAAGTCAAGGCCAGCAAGAGTACATCATTAAAACTATATCAAATGACTGAACTACAGACTGAAGGTAAATGAAAGTCTACCTCAGCTCACAAGATGTTTCTGAATCACATATACATGTGCATGTGCACACATTCACTTCATGTGTTGTTTTTGTATTGTTTTGTTTGACTTTGCTTGTAGTTTTCTGTTTCATGCTATTTTTATTTTACTTCATCACACTGCTACATCATAAACTGTGCCATAAGCTAAGAACAACAACTCATAAATCCTGCATGCCAATTTGCCCACACTGTTCCCTGAGTAGGTGTTTCAAGAAAAGCTTGGTCAGCCTTAGGTAAGTCTAAACATAGCATTATTCACTGGGACTGAAATTAGATTTAATACAAACTTAAATCAAGTTGTTGGGTTTTGTGTGCACTTAAAGAATCAGGATGTTGCGTTTTCCTTCATTGAGAATCACCTGAAGAAGAGATGATGAAATGTATAGCCTGGGGAGGGGGAACTTATTTAAGTTGCTTACCAGTAAGTTTCTCTTCTGTACAAATGTGATACACATCTACAATCAGCAGGAAGCCTCAGGATCTAGCTACAGAGATCAATCACATAGCTCTAATAATGGCAAGGTTGGAAGAAGCCCTTTGTTTAGCATTTTCTTTCAATGGGATAAAATTCAGATTCTCCTATTTTAGGAGTTCAGAATTAACCCTCCATCAGAGATGAATTTTAAAAATCAGCATCCTCTGTTTATTAAAATGTCATTGGTAAAGTTGCCTTGTAAATAATGCCCAGTATGGCCTCATTGACAATAAACTAGGCAAGCATTGAACAAAACCTTGGCAACCAGAAATGAGTGGTCCTTCAGATCATGGGACAAAATCTTAATACACACAGTAGAAAAGCAGCAAGGTAAACATTGCCAATAAATACCTAAGAACAGACAAAAGGAGGAGAGAAGAAAAGGGAGAGAGAAAAGGTACTAGCAATGTAAAGGGGATGTCTAAGAAGCACAAGAAGGTGTTTTGTACAAAAGAGAAAGTGAGTAAGCACATGAAATCTGACAATTGAAACAGGAAGAGCACAAAAAGCATATAATCTTGAAAGCATACCAAAGTACTAAGAAGCACAAAACATCTTAGGTCTGTAATCTATTGTTATACCCCAAATTCTGCTTAACAGCCACCTTAAACAAATAGAAACGGCATTTTATCTTTGTGCATTGTTTTCTTTAACCTACCAACTAGTGTATATTTGAAGACAAAGCCCAGCAAGACTGTGGTATGAGAAAGGGAAAAAATATGCTGAAAACATCTGAAATGCTAATGGCATGAATAGGAGCCAGAATTCAAGGATTCTCATGTATGATCCATCCCCTGTAGGAGGAAAACAAATTAAAAAAAAAAAAAAAAAGACCAAAAATCTCTTACCATTATTACTGTTATCATCAACTAAAATAATCTCTTTGAGCAGGTGAGCAGGAGTCCGGTCAATGGCAGAATGAATAGAGCGCAGAATCACTGAGAGCGCTTCATTAACAAATATGAATACAATGCTGACTTCTGGAAGTCTGTCAGGAAATGTTAGGTTTCTGCACCTGAAGAGAAAGGTAAAAAAACAAAGATGTAAACTGTTGGAAGTCACAATGTCAACACAAACTTTTTCAGAGAAATCTATCCCCAGAAAAAGAATAACTTTTGTAAACGTTGATCAGAAGGTCCCCATAAACTGTTCAGGGCACTTACAGGCAAGAATCAAATGAATTACTATCTAAAAAAGGAATCCTTGGAAACAACTTCCTGAAATTCCCTGTGCAGCCAAGGCCGAGAATGAGCTCACTTTTTGACCAAGGTCCAAAACACTGAAAAAATTGTTTGCAAACCAAATGTAAGCTTTTATTTAACTGCAGTTCCCAACTGCAGTTTGTCATGATATTTTTTTCTTGGACAGTATAGACAGGATTAAACTGAGTTTGCCCTTTTGAAAAGCGTATTATTAATAGCTAAATTAATTACTTTTGCTGCAGAAGCTACCAGCTATTTCAGTCAAGAACAGGGTATTCCTTCTCAACTCAGCAACAACAACAAAACAGTAAAAGATCCAGCTCCAAACAGTATCTTGCTAAATAAGCTAAGACAGCAAAGACAGAAAAGAAATGTACAAGGATGCAAGCTCAGTCAGGAATTTTAAACAGAATGAAGACCACTCTAGTAACCTGGTAGATTTTCCTGTGTTTCTTTATTTATTCTTTTAATAAATATGTAATTTGGCCACAAATTTATAAATCATGCTACAATATGACTCCTTAAGTGAATTTGATGTTCAAATAGAAGAGAAAGTGTAGCATTTACACTTCTTTACATGTTCATAACACTTGCAGATTTCTGTTTGGTAAATGCAATTGAAATTTCATTCAAGTTTTGAAAATTAGGATTCACATGGGGAGCACTACAAAATACTCAACAGGCTCAAGCATACCAAAACAATTTTCAGCATTAGCTTAGAGAGAATCAACAAAGCCTGTTATTTCAGTGATTTCGTTGCAGCCCAAACACATAGATATATAATGATACAGCAAACAAAGCTACAACCAATCTTTTACCTGTATAGCTTAGCCATCTGTTATCCTCAGCAATACTGATGTATGAAGAAGATAAAAATGAAACTCTAGCAAAAGTGGTAAAATATGTCATCTACCAGATAAAGAGCAATGCAGTGATTTGGGAAAATAAATAATAAATAAATAAATAACAATGAAAACACACTGAAGTTCAAAGAAATTACTTCCTTAAAATCTGATTTTTTGTCCTCTATCAATTAAGCCATTATTGAAATATATGTCAAATATACTTTTGTGAGAAAATAGTGACAAACTATATTTAAAAACAAATGTTCCAGATGACAAAACCAACCCCCAAAACACTGGTGCACTACCACAAATCCATGCATAAACTGAAATGTAACATGCTTGTGACATATCTTCCATCTGTTTAAATGAAATGTTTTGTGTTATTTTTCCTACCTGCATTCATTTGCATTTCTTGTTTTTCAAATTAGATCACACTGGATAGGATTTTCTGTTGTCTGGCACCTTGTGCTAAACAAAAGCAATGTTTGTGATATGAATGTCGTTTGACTCCTATTGTGCCCCTGTATATGCTAAGAGATATCTGCATATGATACCACAGAACAGAATTAGGCTCCTGTCATGTCCAATTTTTTTAGTGCTTTACAAATTGATTCTTTTTCAATGAGGGTACATTCCTAAATTGAATTCATACTTTCTTTTTTCCATTCAGACCTATATATCATCTTTACTAACAGCTTAAATTCAATGTGTGTAGAGTCTAAAAAAAAAAATGCATTTTCTGATGTTGTTTTTTATATAGAAAGTGACAATAAAAATTACCTACTTTTTTTTTTTTATTTTAATTTAAACAAATTGGAATGAAACACACCCAACTTGGTTCATACACAGAATGCAGACAATTTGTACTGTGTCACAAGAGCATCTATCTTCTTCTTCTTGCTAAGTTTCATGAGGAATAAAATTCCATACATCTAGGAATGAAAAAGAAATAGCTATAAGGAAGGGGTGTGAGTGTGGGTATATAGAACATATGCTGAATGGATAAAAAGGGAGGACATTGTATGGCTCAAATTCTGAGATCCATTAAGCCCTAAGAACTGAAGGGTTGCGCAGCAACCAGCAACATCCAGGTTTTAATGACAGCTCTGCCTCTGCCTAATTCTGGGGCCTTGGGCAAGCCCCTACCCTGCCTAGGTCTCAGGTATTCCTCCTCCCCCAAAAAAAAGCACAAATTCACAAAATATTGAGCATACTTCAGTATTAGGATTGTTTGTTGTTGTTGTTGTTTTGTTTGTTTTTTTAATAAATATAAATTCTACATATAATTTAGAATTACAATAATGAGTATCATCACAATGTAGCTAAAAATTTCCTCTTGCAACCAACTCTGATAAAATACATTGGGCTAATAACACTAAAGAAACAGTTGTCATGGTTACCAGAAATTTAGAGAAACTCCCGGTGTTCTATTTCAAGCACAACTCAGGCAACTGTAGGACAGCATACATTACGAATCTTCTTTGAAATATTTGTCCATATTCATCTAGAATATATACATTGTGATACAGCAACTTGGCTAGTCACGTTAAAATTAAGTTTAGCAGAACTATGCAGTAAGAACAATACACAAGAATGATTTCCTGTGTTAGTAACTTATCTACCAGACCTTCAACAAATATTTACATTATGAAAAAAAAAAAAAAAGATTTTCTGCAATTTTAAGAACTTTTCACCTAATAGTTACATCGGTATCACAGCCAACAACAGCAACAGAACATGTTTTGTGTCTTAATCACTACATTATGTGCTATGTTCCACTTTTTTTTTATAGGATACAATGAAACATATTATAAATATGTTTATAAATATCTCCAAAGCATCTTACAGCATAGATATAATTGTAACAAATTGTGTCCCCAGTCCTTTTAATAAAAGACATTATCGTATAATTTTAGTGACATGAAAGTTCCTTTTTTTTTTTTTCCTAGGTACTTAAAATCAATACTTTTCTCTGAAAAAAGTAATTAGAACAGTAAAGCTGGGAGTTGATGATCTCAATAAAATTCATTTTTATATGAACATGAGGAGAATTCTATGTAGCTATTTGGACAAAAACGGTTAGTCTCTTACAGTATTAGCCAGGGATTACTCTGAGTATGTGTAAATGTATGCCAAGCAAAGAACATTCACGTTATGACACATGAGAGAGGGAGAGCCAGTACACACGTGGATTACAGCATCACATTTCAGTTAAAGGAGACAAGGGAGAAGATCAGAAACAAAGGTACAGCATTATTAACTTAGGTTATTATAACAACTTGGAGACTGCAGCTAATTTGATATCATTGCTAGTGAAATTAAATACTTTTAGAGAATGCATTTAGGCAGATACATTCAGACAGGACAAACTGAAGCACAAATCAGAATCACAGAAGGTAGCCAGTCAGCACACACCACTGCTATGAGTCACAGTTTGGAGACAAGAAAACAAAGAACCAATGGTAGAGAGCTGAGTAAAAGAGAGCAGGGAACAAGCCAGATATTTGGCAAGAATGCTACTAATTTGGAATTTTAGGACTTCTATCCAAAATAATCTAACAGGTGAAGGACCGGACTTTTGTGCTCTTTTAAAGGAATCTTTTGAAACATCAGATACCACATGCAGTATTTACACTGTCTTTTATGAGTAGGAAAAAAACTTGGTGTAAAAAAAACCTGGAGCCATATATATCACTAATATAAATCCAACAAAATAGAACTATTTCATGGATATTCAGATGAAGCAAAAGCTTACGGAATGCAAATCCTTAGGAGCTACCTTTTGAGAAGCCGAACTAACATGCAAACGTCTAACTTGAAACTCACAATTTGGGATCAGTGCTTTTTATGTATCACTTTTAACAAAGGAAAACCTACAGGTTTATAAAAATGTGATGCTGTCTTGCACACTATATCCAGGACTGCATATAGAACATAACACTGGTGGTAATCTTGACATTGGACAGACATACACACATGAACAGCTTTTGTCCTAAAACACATCAATCTCCTCGAGAAGTGGATGCTTAAATTTTCTACCTTGCATTTGTACCTGTATTCAGTGGATATCCTACCTGTTCTGCTTTTGCAGCGAACTGTTGCTCTTCAAGGCATCTACCATTGTCTCTTGCTGAACTAAGCCTCAAAGTAACACAGTTTGGGATTGGTGAACTGCTCAAAACAAGGAGCACTTACAAAACCACCCAAGCCTTTCTCTGCACAGGAAACAGCATCTTCTCTGCACTTTTCATAGATGCCAGACAGCACTGACTCAGCTGGGAAAAGGGCGAGCCTCTGCAAGTCAAATGCTATACCATACTATTTAAAATCTTCAAGGAGGACAACTAAACTGAACTTCAAGCACTTCTTTCCTCCCTCCAGCCTTCCTGCCTTCACTTTTCTTCATACAAATACTGTTTTTACCAATGCAAAAGAAGTTTGGCTGACTGCAGTTAGCACTGATTAAAAAATGCCTTATGCCCATCAGCCAGCTCCTTCATATCACATGTGCTCTCCAGGAACAGAATTCTGCAACATAATTCCTCTGCTGGGGTCCTGTTACAGACTTTTTTTCCCCCACTATCCCTCACTCTCTCATCACATAAGCAAAGCACAATGCTATCTCTCTTTCACACATGTGCTTCAGCAGACTGTATCAGGCAACAAAAAATTTACAAGCCAACAGAGTACAATCCTAAGTGCATCCACTCAAAAAGAGATTTGGTACACAGCTTTGGGATTCCTAAACAACCTAGCTTTTAATGCTTTTCTGTGTGAGCTTTTTCAACATTTCACTCACGACAAGCTTTGTGGGTGCTGCCTGCCCTACTTAAAGCAACGAGCACAACAGAATTATAACTAACACAAGCATTATCCTATTCCTGCACTCAGTAAGGCCAACACTGCCTTCCTCAACGCTTCCAAGCTCATTAGAGTAAGTAGTTATTTGTTACTCTGTGACAGAGACACATTATGGACTAACAGATGGCTATAAGGGTGGTAAACAGTAGAGCACCCAGTTGCAGCACCAGGACATAAATGGATGCCTTGTAAGAGACAGCATAACCAGTACTCCACAATACAGCATGTACCATCTGCTAAGCATTGCAAAAACTGAGACTGCATCAGTACGTGATGATTATTTTAGGAAGCTGGGATATCCAGGGGAGTTATTTATAATAATGTGTTTTATAACAGGTTTGGGAGTCATTATTTGTTCTGGGGACACCACTGGGATAGTGTAGACAAAACTCCAGCAGCATCCAGGTGCCTGTGTGTAGGCATGTATTTTTGGGGAGGTTGGAGGAGGGAAGCAGGCAATTAAGTGAAATTAATATGGTTTTGTCAATGTAAAAACATAGAATATCTAGAATATTCCAGAATACTTGTCTTGTTCTAATAAAATGATCAATTGGGAGTTTTAAGAAAAAATCCTTCTTCTTCACACACCGCACCATCAAACTGAGGAAGCAAACACACGATGGAAACCAACATAGAAACAGGTTGAAGAAGGGAGCAGTCATCAAAGGATATTAAGAAAAAATGTAGTGGAGACACCGAATGTTTGACATATCTGTCTTTGGGCTTTACTGATAACTCAAATGCCAGGTAGCAGTTATGAATCACTGTTTTCTTCTCAAAATTATGTGCATGTGTTCCTGCAAAGTCCCTTGGTGCTGAGAAATACAGTAGCCCCTTTTATATTATACTGGTATGACTCAGTTTTAACCTTTTTTTGCCAACAGTGCTCTGAGAATTCACATCAAAGTACCTCAGCAGAGGAGCTAAGCATCTCTTTGTAAGGTCCTGCAATGAGAGATGCCACTTCTCATAACCCCATATTATAGCATAGAGGAGTTTCTAGGGTCAATGCTGTCAACTTTTAATAGAATGAGAAAAACAGGTACAATTAGAGATTGCTGAGCTACAACACACATGAAGGAGAGGGCAAGTATTCAACCCTGCCCAGCCCTCCAGTGCGGGTGGCATGCAGAGATGGGAGACCAAATTTAGTAGTTAGGGCACTGCATGCTGCCCAGGTGGTTGTTCCCTGTCTTTTTAGGAGAAAAAAATGTCAGTCAGATGCAAACATCCAGCAGAAAAAAGAACATAGCAGTATTTTCTTGTCATTGTTCATTCCCACCATCCACAATCACACAATTCTGGACTGCCTTGTTAAAACGAACATAACACTGAGGATAAAGTTGAACTAGATTATGGTGCTCATTTCATAAGAACTTAATAACCTAGTAAATAAGGCAAGTATGGTCAATTCTCCCTAATCTGGGTGAATAGTGAATAAGAAGCTTCAATAATGTGGACAGACATAACACCCAGATAATCTGGTACCTGAGGAATACAATGCAGATGCTCAGTCCCACATAGCTGGCACAGCAAACTGCAGAGACCCTTGGTACTCAAGGCAGCCCTTGTTTTACTACCCTCTCCTCCTTCCCAATCCAAACCTTTATTTAATACAGCTTCTCTGATTTCTCTGCTACTGTTTGCCTTTTCCTCAATGTTCAATCCTTACTCATCTTTTTGACCGCAAGCATCCATGATTTAAAACATACACGGCTGAGAAAAGTCAGTAAAATAGCTGCCTCCTCAGCAGCAGGTGGAAGCTTGCTCTCCTGTGTGCAAGTTAGGCAGATGTTGGCCACTTATACAGTTGTTACTACTACTGCAGTTGCCCTTCCATCTGATCTTGGAAATAAACACCAGCATCCTCAGATGAAGGAAAAATATGTCACTGAAGGCTCAGGCAGTGAACCTAAGAGTCACTCACGTTGTCACATGAGGAATACTGTCCTCGTGCTTTTCTATTCTCACAGTCCTGTTCAAGCACAGACCCTGCAGGACGCGAAGAGTAGGCTACATGGGCTTTTAAGCTTGGATTTGCAGCCTGTAAGAAGCAGAGCACTTTGACATCCTAAGGTCTGTGTAGATTCCTCAGGAATATAACCTTCTAGTTCAACCCTAATTAGCAGAGGTACAGTTAAGTCTGAGTAATCTGGGGATTTAAGGAATATTCTTTTGTTCTTAGCCTGCCAGCTTACTGTCAACACAAACCCTTGGCAGATCATTTTATTCTCCCAGTCTCAACTGGGGCTGATTAGATGTGAATTACACTAGAATTGTTATATTTCTGTTTCTGTTCTCTTACCGTCATCCTATACTTCATGTGGTATGCTATTAATACAAATGATAGACCACAACCAAGCCTGGACATATCTATACGAACTCCATTTCCTTCAGCTACCTCCCTGCAAGCCATTGCTGGGATCCCTATGCCATACTGCCTCTTTCAAAAGCACCGTTAAATCCAGGCTAATGAACTTTGTTAGTTCTAGGCTAACTCCTCCCTGAGCAATTGTGGTACTGCTGCAATACCTACGTTTTCTTGCTTTTCCAGTCAGGAAGTTGATTAACTCATCCTCCACACCACTTGCTTTGTGCTCTCTTCAGAGCAAGCTATTCATGCTTTCATGGTATGCTTCTTGAGCCTAGTGTCTGCTCATGGATAATTTAAATATATTCATACAGCTTCCAGAAGTGACTAATACAATTGTCTTTGAAAATAGGTGCTACGAACACTAAAAATGGATGATTACAGCAGAAAACATACTCTTACAGGGTAACATTTTTCTTCCAATAGCCATGTGCATGTTCTCAAACAAAAGAAAATTTGCATAAGACGATTGGGAATTCTTTTTTTCAGAAATGCGACATTTGGAATACCCTGTAGCAGTGTACTCCACAGGGTGCCGTATGTGCAGCAAGCAGTGTACATACTACCTGACAATATGCTTCATTTCCCTCAATATTAGAATTTATCATTTGATGCTTTTAGCATCAGATTACCCACTCATGCCTGAACCATGATAAAGGGTGGGGAAAAAGAAGTCGTCCTGAGCTATCATTACCAAGCCATTATTTTGTGTGCATGACTCTATAAACATATTGTAAAGTCTAACATTTTTTGCAGATAGTTAACTAAGAATCAAAATTTTCACAGAAATTAGGATCATGGTTCATTTCAAACTGGAGTTTCTTCTAAAATCCCAACCCTAATTTATTTCTTTCAGCTACAGTAACATTCCTTTACCATGTCTTTTTAATTTTTTATACCCACAGTTATAAAAAATTTAGGCTGAAATCATTCAGGAGAATCATTTCAAAAGAGATATAAGAACAGACACACTTCTGTTACTGTGTCTTTTAGTCACAGAAGATTTATTTTTCCTCTAAATTAGTTTATAATTAAAAAAAAGAGAGATTGTCCATACGGACAGCGTTAAACTAATTTAATCAAAATATAATTTCTTGGACCTTGATTTCCTTAAGGTTGTTATATTTCAGCAAATCTACAACATACATATTTCTAAAATGTAATATTTTGTAATATAAATTATAGATATACTTTAAATTGCTAAACTGTAGTCTGGAATGGCTTTCATATCTTTTCACTAATATCCAACAACTCAATACACGGTAAAACGTACTGTTTATTGCACTAATTATTAAAACATTTGGTTAAAAGTAGTAAATAAGATCACAGCTGGATTGCGCTTGGGATTGGCAAGGAGCTAAAACACCTTTCATATCTTGGTTACTGGTTCAATTCAGTGAGTACCCATTGAGTTTATTTTAATTATATTCTTTTTTTAATAAGCTGCAAAAAAAGCAGTCTTCCTTCTACCCACATCCCCATCCCCAGAGATGCTAGGTTTTTTCAAATGAAAAGATGTATCACCAAGGCTGAAAAACAGTTGAATGCTAACTGTCTCTGTAATGGTCCTACCAGACTAGGACTCAAATGCCTTAAAGGGAAGGCTGTTCATTCCCCTGGTCCAATCCACGTCAACAAAGCATCATGGAATAACAATGGACATGTTTACCCTGCCTGGCATGCACACTTCCTAGCAGAGAAGAGCTCAGTGAAAGCTGGAGGCTCCTTGGGCTTTCAGCTGGTACACACTGCTTGACTAAACTGCATATTGCACCATCAGAGCTCACCAATCTCATCTGCTTTCTGATCTTTATCATACAGTCCTGGGCTTTCTAAAATAGAATTTCTTATGCTTTTCCTATTCTAGTCAGATCTTGTGATAAAACTGAAATTTAACATAAGAAATGTTACTCTTTTAGCAATAAAACACTATTTAAAGTGAATTATAGGTGACATTAACATTCCAAAAGAACTTGGGGAACTTAGAGAGTACTTAGTGGGATTTTAATAGGGCTTAATATGGATATTTCAGCATTTCAGGGGACATTTGAAACTTCCAATCTTCTTATATTTCATATAAATGACTCATTATGGCCATCCTATGTAACTTCTATGTGATCATACAACATAAGACTATCAGGTGAAGAAGAGTTAAGATTTGAACTGCTGGGGTTAACTACAGCACTTACCCATTAGGTCTAAGGTCAGGCAGGGGCCTGTCCAGTGGCAGGCGATCACTCAGGTAAGCATTGTAGCCATAATACTGAAATTGTTTAAGTGCAATACGTCTGTTTTCAGGACTGAGATCCTGGCCCCAGTGAGCAAAGAGAGACGAGTCGGTAAATGCCTCAGCAGGATTTTCTTCCAGTTTTGGTGGAGCTTCTACAAAAGCCAAAGACAAAAACAAACTGTTTTAGACTTTCATTCCAACAGGCTCTAGTGCACATTACTTTAAAAGGTATAACTTTTGGGAGAACACCACACAGAACAGCAAACACTGCCAGCTTATTGCAGCCTGTAAGTCTTCATGTACCATGCCCTCACAAATCTCTAGGGGCAGTATAGCTGTTAGTAGTTGAGGCTCAAAATTTAATATTCAAAATACAGCTAAGTTAAAAACAATTATTTTCCATCACAGTAAAACTGAAGGGTGGGACCGACAACTCTAAATGACTTAAAAATTAAAATAAAAATCTCTAAATTAATCCAAAAGAATTCTTATCAGACAATGAGATTTTTTGTTTTTGTTTTTGTTTGGTTTTATATGCAAAGGTGAATTATTTAATTTCAGTCTGAATTATCATGCTAAGGGTAAAATTTTGAAGGGAAATACAAAGAAAGAGAGAGTGTGTGCGGGATACACAACATAGCTGCTGAAATCTGCATTAGGTAAGTTATCTGAAACTACAGAGTCAGCATAGAGAAAAAAATCACTGCACTTAGCATCCATGTTTAAATAGCAAAACAGTTTCAGTCACACCATATTTTTTACACATTATTTTTTATTTTTATAGTCCGGTTTACCAATCCAGTCTATACAAATTTTTGGTCTGTGCTTCGATGTGTGCAATTATGGTACTAGAATCTTTACTCAGCAACAGTTATGTAATTATAAAAATGCTTTTGTTCCAAAAGGCTACATCTCTGGCTGCTATACCAGAAGAGAAGACAGGAAATGATACGCCCAGATCTTAACTTCTGGTACAATGAAATCACAGCATGCCTTCTCAGTATATATAATTGCCCAAGAGGTCTAATTCAAGGTGACTTATAACAACACCATTTCATCCAGACAGACAACCCACCAGTTTTTATTCAGGTGACCATACAATCAAACCAGAAGAACTATGTGTGTCTGTAAACAGTTTATAATATACAGTACACTATTAAAGAAATATCAAATACCTCACTGGACCCTGATTTGTCATTGTAAATAGTGTCTCACAAAGAAAAAACGTCTTCCTTTTCTGGATGTCTGAACTATAAATAGTCTCCATATCCACTAACCAACTAAATAAAAACTCTTATTTCTCAAGCTGTATTCACAAATCATAACCCACTAATACTGGTCACACAGAGACTTAGGACAATAAAAGCGAATCTTCAGATAACTGTCAAATGTGTCCAAGAGGCAGAAGCTTCACTGACACCGTGTCCAGAGCCAGTAGTATATCATTCTCGGCACTCACAGTCACCTACAGACCTGACCAGTTGGCTTAAATCTAGCTACATAAAAATATCTAAAGAGAACAGTTTATATAGTAACAGTATACACCACTAGAATCATGACTTCTGAAGTATGCCAAGAACCACATTCTTTGATCTCTTACTAAGTAGAACACAAAATACAAAATCATAAATTGAGATTAAGTTAGATGTTTGAATCATTCAAGATATTTTCCTTTTTGCCCAAACAGTACTAGCAGGAAACTAATGACAGTTGTTTTCCTGCATTAGATTCCAATTTCTGTAAATATAGAATGTTTCTTTACTTGTCAAGTACTGTTGTACAACCTGAATCCTGGAATCAGCTCCATTTCTTCAAAGATGAAATACATGCTAAATCCTCAGTCGAACAAGGAAACTACTCTGTCAGGCCACGTAAATGTTACAGTGTAGAGATTGCGGTTTAAATCAAAGTCTGCAGTGGAAATTAAGAAAACTTCATAAATTCAGATCTTTTATAGAAGATCCTAACTTGAGAAATGCAGAACAGCTTTTAAATACCAGTCCAGAAATCATAGCACTGGGAAAGCCACAGGCACCTCTGCTGACTACTAAATGACTTCCACAAAACCAACTTGAATTTACACAAATAAGGTCACAAACTATCTTTACAATTTAAGAGATGCTTAGATCAGGTGCAGCCAGTAGAAATTACTGTTGCTCAGCGCTTTTCAAGAGCATATGCATACATGCTAGTCAAAAAAACTATGCAAGTATTTAGCTTGTGTGTTAAACACACACCTAAGTTTTCTACTGAAACAGAGACTTTACAGCAAACAGGATTCAAGGTATGGTCACATTTACAGATTTACAGTCACATAAGCACTACTAGACATGAATTCTATAGAATGAGCATTTCCAAAGGGTAGGAAGGATGAACAACCTGGGTTTGGGGGACACAGAGAATGGTATGGTGAAATAACATTGATTTTAATAAGAAAAAGTTAAACAAACAAGCAAAACAAAACAAAACAAAAAAATCAAACAAACGAACAGGACACATCCAGAGGATAAAGGTTCTGCATGACAAGCCCACAAACCTGTGCTGCCACTTAACAGGTGGAAAGCTTTAAGCTCCACATGCCATCTTCCCTTTTTCCTGGACTTTCGATTCTGATTAGCCCAAGTCCCTGACTCCTGCTAACAAAATGTTACTCCCACAAACAATCCTGGTATTTATTTTTCATCTATTAAAAGATTAACGTACAGGAGTGACACTTTTTTTCTAATGTCCATATCGAATTAACACATTTGAGGCAGAAAAAAGCCTTGACATTACTGTGAGGGTGGTTCTTCATGAGCAGGTACAACAGGAGCAGCCACTTGCTGCCAGGCTTCCCATGCTAAGGTCAGGAACCACTCGTCACCTCCTCCCAGGTTGGACCAGATGATCTTTAAGGTCTTTTCCAACCTTAGTGATTCTATGATTCTAAAGGAAAAGTGCCATTAATCTGGATTTCTCCAAGTCAAGCACAATTTTTCTGAAGTCTTTAACATCTATATTTATAATTATTATACCTACGGCAGACAACTGCCTGGTGTAGGATACACCCACATGCCAACCGCACAGCTATGCCCCAAAAGAGGTCTAAATAAAACTGAGACTCACTGTAAGAGCAGTGCATGGCATATGCATTTGTATCTGCAGATAAAGGGGAGATACAATGATAATTTTCCATGGATGGATGGCCATCCCAGCAACAACTGTCTTCACAGAACTGTACTCACACATCTGCTTGATTTTATCTAATAATTTTGTGGCTGAGAGTATCTCCTAACTCTTGCTGCTTTCTGTTTGAAAAAAGCATTCAGTAAAATCCAGGTTGTATCTGCAAGAATAAGATTTTCAAGTGATGGATATCTGTGAATTCATGGTCTGAACTTGGGTAGACCTGTGCGGTGTCAAGAGTTGGACTTGATGATCCTTAAGGGTCCCTTCCAACTCAGGATATTCTATGATTCTATGATTCTATGAATGTAGTTTTGCAAGGACTAAAAAATACCTTGTTAAACACAGCCACTTTTTGTATCCTAAGTAAACATTATTTCAATATATTTTACTACAGGAAAAAAGCATTACCAAGAACCTTCAATTAGAATTTCAATCAATGGAATTAAGCATGCATCTCTGATGACAAAGCCTTTCTTTCCTTTATTTGGCTGAAAACCCTTGGGGAAGTGCCTTTATTCAGTCAGTCTCTCACAAGAAATAAAAACAATTATTATAAGGCCATGAGCTGCCTTTCGACTACTCCACTAGCATATTTTATATCTTAGTCTGTGAAAACAGAAAGTAACCGCAGTCTCTGTAGTGGGTTTACGTGGCAATGTTTTGGTAGCAGGGGGCCATAGGGGTGGTTTCTGTGAGAAAGATCTAGAAGCCGCCCCATTTTTGGGAAGGGCCCCATTGTTTTCCAGATCTGAGCCAATAAGCGATGTTGTTTTGCGCCTCTGTGAGAGCATATTTAAGACAGGGAAAAAACGCTGCGCCACACAGCAGCCGGGAGAGTCAAGGGAGTGAGAAACAGCCTTGCAGGTGCCAAGGTCAGTGTAGAAGGAGGGGGAGAGGTGCTCCAGGCGCCGGAGCAGAAGTCCCCTGCGGCCTGTGGTGAGGACCATGGTGAAGCAGGATGTCCCCCTGCAGACCATGGAGTACCACGGTGGAGCAGGGTTCCACGCTGCAGCCCGTGGAGGAGACCACGGTGGAGCAGGTGGCCCTGCACCGACGGAGGCTGCCGCCTGTGGAAGACCCCTGCCGGAGCAGATTCCGGGCCAGACCTGTAGGCCATGGAGAGGAGCCCACGCAGGAGCAGGTGACCTGGCAGGAGCTGCTGCCCGTGGGGGAGCCAGGTTGGAGCAGTTTTCTCCTGAGGGATGGACCTCGTGGTACGGACCCATATCTGGAGCAGTTCTGGAAGAGCTGCTGCCTGTGGGAAGCCCACGCCGGATCAGTTCATCAAGGAGTGCATCCATATTTCTCACTTCTCTAGCTTGTTAGTAATGAGCAATAAATCTTACTATCTTCTTATGCTGAGTCTGTTTTGCCCGTTACAATAATTACTGAGTGATTTTCTCATCCTTATCTCAACCTTTGAGCCCTTTTCCTCATATTTTCTCCCCATTCCTCTTTGAGGGGGGGGAGTGAGGGGGCTGTGGTGGAGCTCGGCTGCCCACTCGAGCGGAACCACGACAGTCTCACAGCCAGTTCTTCTTACCACTTATTTCTACCATTACAGAATGATGATGGGAAGCTAAGGCTCAAAGGTAAGCCAGTAAGTAGTACTGCCTGAAGCAATACTAAGGTAAGCACATTTATCTGCTCAGTTATTACTAAGAAGGAAAGATCAGTTCCATTTTTCCTGTGGGAAGAAAGCTTATCATCCACAGCATATTGCTGTATATGTTAACATTGGGTCTTTCTTCGCTACATTGCCTTTCCACATCATGCAAAGAAGAGTGGTATACACAGACATAAGGCCAGTATTAACTCTTGGCAGGCTGACACTTTGCCCCTAAATCAATTGATTTAATGAATTACACAGATGCCAGCTAGCTGGATACCTGAGCTGTGGATGTCTCCTTCCCGAAGCTTCTCCTTCCCAAAGCTGGTCATGGGACCAGTAGGGGTTTGGTCACACACTGTTTAACAAGTCCAA